GCTGAAGCCTACCAAAGGAGTGTCTGCGGGCTTCAGGTCGCTTCTCTGCAGCTGGAGCTGGTCAAATGCGGCTTTGAAGAGTATGTCGGCCGAGCTACCCGAGTCGACGAGTATGCACCTAACCTCGAAGTTGTTGATCCTCAGCTTTATTACGAGCGCGTCGTCATGGGGGTAATGGACCCCTCGCGCATCCTCTTCTGTGAAGAAAATTGGCTCTTCCGTTCTCGGCCGCTTTGGGGGGTTCTGCTCCTCCCAGGTGACCTCGCGAACCGACGTTCGGGCTGCCGCTGAGGTGCACCCTGCAACAATCAAACCTCCCACTATCATGTGGATGGTTCCCCGAATTGGCCTCTCCTCTGGAGGCTGTCTCTATGGTTGTTCGGCCGGCCTGCAACTGGTCTCGGGAGCGTCTTTACCGTGCTCCCCTTGCCGACCTGTTCTGTTACTATTATTATTGTTATTATTATTCTGTACAAAGTTTCTCAAATATCCGCGACAGATGAGCTCCTCTATCTCGTCGCGGAGGTTTTTACAACTCTCGGTACTGTGATCGTGGTCCTTATGAAAACTGCAATACAGACTCTTATTTCTTTCATTGGGATTCCCCCTCAGACGGGGCGGCCACTTCACGTACTGGGCGTCCTTGATTGCCATCAGGATTTCGGCCCGCTTTGCGTTCAGTGGGGTGTAGTCAGCTCGGTCTGGTGCAGGAGCTCGGAACAACTAACCCGGCTTTAAACCCCAAACTATTTCCTTTTTTCTTCGGGTGTCCTCTTGACTGGAAGGTTCCCCTTCTCTCTTTCTTTTTTYRGGTGYGCCCTCACCCTTCTRGTTGATCTCCTCTTCAGTGGCTATGAACTTATCCGCAAGCTTTAGAAACTCGGTTATGGTCGCGGGTTGGTTGACGACCATGTGCCACTTGAACTCTTTGTGTTTTACGCCCTTCTTGGCCGCTGCTAGGCGTACGACGGGGTCCAGGCACGGTATCTGCATACAAGCGTCGTTGATCCGCTTCGAATGGACTCTCCCTCTCTTTGGGCTACGTTGAAGATGCTTTCTTCAGTCCGCGGGCACCGTTTGCTRGTGACAAAGTGGGACGTGAAGGCTTGTGCGAACTGCGCCCAGCTTCTTATCGACCCGGGTGCCAAGTTCCGGTACCACGTGCGGGCTGCTCCCCTGAAAGTAGTGGAGAAGGCCACGCACATGCATGACTCACTGGCTCGCGCCAGGTGCATCTGTGACTGAAAGGCGTCTACATGATCATTCAGGTCGAACGACCCGTCACACTTGTCAAGAGGGGGAAGCTTGAAATCGTTGGGCATCGGGACTGCCAAGAGTTCGGAGGACAGGGGGGACAGAACCGAGAGGAGGGGAGCCTTGGCTTCGGCCGAGCCTACCTCTTCTTTGCCCATGAGCTCGGGCAAATCGCGGGTGACAGATCGGCAAGCTCGGCGGCGGCGGCTCTGCTTCTTGGTGGGCTCGGCGTTCGTGCTGCTCACCTCCACGCTGTCCATAATGGTTTGCGCCGGGAGTAGCCCGGTCCGCTGGTGATGGCTGCGGACAGAAGGGGCTTGCTTAGAGTCTATTGCCA